TTCTCGAGGTGGCATCGGAGTTGTCTGGAACGATTCATCGGGCGGAGTTTACGCGTTGACTTGGGGCGGCGGCTGGGGGCGAAAGTTCTGCAGGATAACCACATCGCTCTAATTCAGAGTTGCTTCTCGTTACTGGAGTCAGTACTCAACTTTTGTGTTGCCGTTGCCAGGTGTGCCACTGAAAATTCTTGACCCTACAATCACGAAACTTACCCCCAAGACCGCTCGACTCTTGCAAAGCAAGTGGCATGAGCCAAACCAACGATGCCAGTCGCAAAACATTGGGTGCCAAATTACTAGCAAATTCATGACGACGCACTATGTGAGGAAATACTACGAACCATACATCTAACCACAATAAAACGGTGCTTGCTAGCCAACGCAAGAAGTCCCAACCAACCGACAGAAAAGCAACACCCACCCACCCTACACTCCATATTCTCTCTCCCCGCGCCAACTCACTCGCGATTCATGAGGTGCGGGCACTCATTCGGCAACACGCGGCTCATCTCCTCGCGCGTCTTTTTCGTCTCGTCGCTGTCGGGGGCCACGGCTACGCCCTCGCCTGGCAATAGGCCTACCACTTGCTCCTCCATGTCCCTGCGGTGCGGATGGGCAGACGCGGCCGCGTCGTCGTTTTTGCCGATGGACGGGCACGGCGACGACCCGGATTCGGGCGGCGTGTCGGCCGTCCAGCTGCTGCTGCCGCTGCGACTGGTGTCGGAGCTATCCGAGGACGCGACTTGAACGCCGCCAGCAGTGGCGGTGGCGGTGGCGGCAGAATCAGCACAGACAGCACCAGAGTCGGCAGTGGTGTTGAGCGGCTTCGTCACGTCCGAGCGGCCGCGGTACTCCGTGTCCAGCGCGTCGTGCCACTGCTCCTCGGCGGTCTCTTGCTCGTCGCCGGGCGTGATGATGGTGGGCACGCTGGGATCCGACATCTGGCGCGAGATGAAGGGGCAGCCGGTGCGGCCCTGCGGGCCGGTGAAGATTTTGCGAAAGTGGTCGGCCACGTCTGGCTGCTTGCCCGTGTCCGACTCGCTCGACCGGGAGCGCTCGTACTTGGGGCGGTGGGCGAGATCGTGCTCGTCCGTCGTCGGTGGGCCCTGCGTTGTAGTAGCTTCAGACGATGTTGCTGTTTGCTGCGGCGGCGATTATGGTGACCGGCTGCTGACCTTGGGCGCGATGGGCTCTTTGTTTACGATGCCCTGTGGTGCGATTTTACGGAACATTTCCATCGGGTCGAACCACGTCTCGACTCGTTGCAACCGGACCTTGTCGTCGACCTTGGCGACAGTGACGCCTTGGATGTCGATGGAGCCGCCGTGGGCTTTGGCCGTAACTTTTTCGCCGCGGCTGCTCGACGTTAAGATTGATCGGGTGCTCTGGTGACGTCGACTTACTCGTTGAAGCCAACATAGTCGTTCTTCATGACACCCCAGTGTCGCCATCGAAAGGCAACTTGAGGCGGGCCGCTGTAAACTTCAAGCACCTCCCAGGCAAAGGTGGGCATCATTCTTTTGAACGTCTTGTGGCTAGAGGCAGAGTCGGAATTCTCCGGGCTGTAGTACTCGTTGGGCGAGATGATGGCGTTGTAAGTTCCAACGTTGAGCATGTGCTCTCCGCTTTGAGGGGGGCCGCCGTTGATGGCGAAGGTGTAGTTTGGTCGGTCAATCGTCCTCCAGTCTGCTAAGTCGGTCTTGAACGACGCTTCAACCTCCCAGTTCTTGACTAGATTCTCGACGAGCTGGTGAAGACTACCAGCAGCATGGGACATTTTCTTGGCTAATGTGCTTGATTAGTGAACAGTTTACCATGATGGCGGTCTATGCAAGAGCAAACAAGATTTTGCGTGCGTCGACCAGAATCGTCACAACTCTCAGGGGTCTTTTCGGTTTCAGAGGGTCCTTAATGCAACACATCCCTTGTGTGCATGTCCAACGCTCTGCTTTCCCAAATAAAGACGAGTGAAAAGCCCACTTACTCTCTGCATACATCTTGCGAGTCTTGCTATAATCTGGTGCCCGGCCATATCTCCACTTGACATCCTGATCCTTGAGCACGGCATCGGGGTCGGTCAGGTAATCAGGCAGCCCAGAAGGCTTGGGTTGAGTTACAGCAACCATGGTGTGGAACATGGGCCCAGGTCTCTTCATCGGGGAGAACGATTATGATCAATTGAGGAAGTAGCAGAGGCTCTAATAAGCAACGTCAATTGAGATACGAACGACTTGCAGAGCTGGAGGTTTGGAAGAGGTTTGAGGGGACGGGAGGCCGTAGAAGGGCCTAAATACGTCCGTTTCATATGCAAATGTGAATCCTGGAGGAGCCCACGATCCTGGGCTGGGCTGCTGGGGGCGCGGCAAGCAAAGCAGAGCTTTGAATGGTGGGGAGCAATCCGTTTCTACTCGGAGACGCGTTGGCTACATCCAGAGAGGCGACATTGGTCAGGCTTGGATCTGATAGGAGGCGTCCGGAGCCTGCCCCGTTCCCAAGCAATGTCGGGGCCCTTGAGCCCATTTTTTCTTGTGCCACTCGACGACTTCTGCAGCTCACTGCAAGAATACCTACAGGTAGAGATTGCATGCTGCGGCTGGGTAACGGGAAGTCCTATGCCATGATCTGGCGGGTCAATGCCGGCCGACGGTGTCGAGGCATCTCATTCGTCTGGAACAGGCTGCGCCGGAGCGATGGGGAGTGTAATTGTTGATGGGGTCCTGGCGGGCGTGGATTTGCTTTTGGCGATTGCTTTTTGGGCGTCGTCGTTTGCAAATTGTTCATGGCGAGATGAGAGCGCCGAGTAGAGAATGAACAAGCGATACGAGCTCAGACTACATGAGGGCGGCACAGTCGAGCGGGACTGAGGAGATGGACGGTGGAGCAAGGAAAGCAGGAGGTTGAGGCTGCAAGGGTCCTGGGGCCGGCCGTGCGCCTCTGCGGCCATCTCTTGCTGCCGCTGTCTGTACAACCTCATCCGTCCCCTTTCGGCACCTCTGCGCGTTGGCCCTCGCGCTCCACCCGTCCAATGCGTCGCGACCTGCTGCTTTTTTCCGAGTCGATCTCGATGGTGCCCGTTCATCCGCAATGCCGTCCACGGCGCGAACCACCTCGACGCGTGCCTGTGCCACCCACTTGACTTTCTTGACGCAGGCTATCACGATTCCTGACGGTTACAGGCACAGGCACAGGCACAGTGTCACTACGTCTCCACTTCCCGATGCGTCCATCTACGGCACTCGCCTTCTTTGGCGGCTTCTTCTCATCGAGGCCGTTGCAAGCGCCTCTGCTGCACCTCTCAAGGACCCTGGACAGCGACGTTGGCCCGCCGCCTCTCCCCACCGTCCTTCAGACCTCTTTAATTGCCTCTGCGAGAGCCAGGAACAATCTGTAGGTATAGGCAGCCGGGCCAGTGATGTGACTTGTCGCTTTTGCCAAAAGGCTGGTCCTGGGGTTACATGCGGGCGACTCTCTGTTCATCTTCACGGGCCAGAAGACTGCAAATTGAAGTTTTTGGGCACACTCCACTGCACACCGCCATTTCCTTGCCCAATCCGTCAACCTAGTCAGCTGCTTTGGTTTACCCCAGTCTCCAAGGGCGGTTTCCGCGTGGCGATCCCATCGGCCTGGGAGCCCGCTCCAATTGATTTGCGTGGGCAGCGGTGGCGCCTCCGCTCGCGTGTTTGATTCCCGTTGCTGCTCTCGCATCCGTCTGCGGCTGCATTGAGGAGTTTGCGTGGCTTCAATCCAAGGCCACGATGGTTTTCGGAGGGCTGACCAAGCCGTGGCGGCGTGTCAATTGGACGTGGTGCATGAATTGGTGAGGCTGTTGCTTTGGTTGTACCACATCTCAACAAAATTTCTGCGCGTCCGGCTGCTTATTTTGGCGACTGACAAAACTGACCCGATGTCCATCCGTGGTTTGGGACAAAGTCGTGGCACACACTACAAAAAGTAGGGGCGGGCGCCTAGGTAGGTAGGTATGTAGCATTCGCAGGTCTGAATAGGTGGTGAACAACAGCGCAAGCATTTCGCTGCAAACTGAGAGGGAGTCCCACGTTATACAGGAGCCTCGATCGGTGATGTCTCCGTCTCAGCTTGGCGCCACTAGCAAAAGATCGAGGACGTGGAGGGACGAAAGAAATGCCGTGACACACGCGGCTGCGGGAGGAGCATGAAGGTGTTGTCTACACGGTATGTAGGAGCACAGTGCCTCTTCTTCTTATCTGCGTCTGCGCGGAATACGAGCTGTGAAGGCGTTAGTCGTGGGCCAATCAGTGTGGGCGGTGCAAGCAGTTGGGGTGCGTGTCACGGGCTCTTCAGGTAAGTGCGGGATGTGATGTACCGGTGGCAAGAAGAATTGTGAAATTCTTGATGATTTTTTGGTGAAGATGTACCGGTGGCGAGAAGAAAATCATCATCTTGATGAATTTGTGCTGCTTCTTTTGGCAGGCTGACGCGCGGACTGTTGTCTGGAAATCAAAGAAGTGAGCGAAGTGTTCTTCATGGTCGTTGAAGTCAGCGAGCGTGAACAAACACTCCATAAAGACGGCTCCAAAAACGTGCGAAGCCACATCCGCATAACCCCTCTCTATGCCAAAAGTAGTCCTCAATAGACAAACAACGCGCGCCTAAGAATCCGCTCTCCATCAAACCCACCAAACTTCATCCCATCAAAAGCGAGAAACAAAAAAACAAAAAAATGGGAAAGGGACAGGAAAAATCAATAAACCAGTCAATGAACCGACCACAGCTCACGAATGTTGCTCGAAAGGCTGCCGGTCAGACAAACAGGCTCTCTGTCATCCCTCTACTCTAGCACCCGTCGGCAACGCCAAAAAAAGGGCCGTAAGCAGCACCTCTTCACTTCTCCACGCACAAATCGCCCTCACTCCAAAACTCCCTCCGCAAAACCCTGCCCATCCACCTATCCATGACCCTCCCATCGCAAATCTTATTTTAGAAATATAATTGCATATCTCCGTTCTTCTCATTAACAAGCCGCCCGGCTAGCTCAATCGGTAGAGCGTGAGACTCTTAATTCTTCCAGAAGCTGGAAAAAGTAGTCATCTCAAGGCTGCGGGTTCGACCCCCGCGTTGGGCTCAATCCCCACGAACATTTGTTTTGGTGGCGGGGATGTTTTGGTGGCGGGGATGTTTTGGTGGTTGTGGGGGGTTTTATTTTTATTTTTTATTTGTGTGGGATTGGGGGATTGGGGAGTTTGTGGGTTGTGGAGGAAGGAGCGACGACCTGAGTACCTTCCTCCTGCTCGCACAACCACATGTAGTCGTCGTGGTGTTGCGCAGTTAAGGGAGTAGAGGTTTTTTTGTAGGCAACGCAACACTTTCGATTAATCAATCAAATTTTGGATCCTCGCAGACAGAAGCAGAAACTTTGATGCGTCCAGCAGTAGCGATTCTTTTGCGTTGAGTCTGGCCTCTCCTGCCTATCTATGTATGTAATGACGCCCAAGTCGTCTCGTTTGGTTTTTTCCTTTTTTCTTCCATCGTTGTTTTTGCTCTTTGCTCTTTGCTCTTTGCTCTCCCTCTCTTTCTTCGCTTTGCTGAAGTATGTAGGCAGTGCCACATCGCGTCATGCACAACTTCATTTCGTGCATCCCTTCCCGCCTCCCGCCTCCCGCCCCCTCCTCTCCCTCTCTATCGTCTCCAACACCTCGACGCAATCAACCGGCCAGTCACTCAGTCAAGCAGACCGAGAGGGCGAAGCCCACAATAAAGAAAACATCACTGACTTCTCCATCTTCATCTTTTCTCAGGACAGCAGGTCAGCCAGCCAGCCCGTTCGTGTCGACCAGCCCGCCTGAGCACGAGTCTTCATACATGCGATCAAGTCTAGGCAGACACCGCGGAGAGATGCGAGAGATGGAGGCATTGAGCGATGGAGATGACGATGTTTGCTGTGTGATGGCAGGGGAAAGGAAAGGAAAGGCAAGGAAAGGAAAGGAGAGGAGAGGGCTGCGAGAAGAGCCGCGTATGTTTGGATGGCTACTGAGGCTTGGCACGAAAGTCGTGGGATATTTCTTCGCTATACTTGGGGCTTCGCGGTACAGGAGGTGGGTGTTGAAGGGACTGAGAAATAAGACCTGGAAATATAACATCAGTGCGTCTAGGGAGCGCGCCGTTTGCTGCCACAGCTGCATTCAAGAGGCATTTGTTTCCTGCTACAGCCAGACCCAGGGAGTCTCATTTGCTGTCGATACCCACCATACCCCTTCAGCCAGGGGGAGGCGCAGTGCCGTCATGATGATTTTGGAGGAGCGGCGGCCCGGTTGACAACGGTTGAGATGAACGAGTGCTTCTTGGGGGAGAGCAGAGACGAGGTGGTGTTGGGGCGCGTGTGAGGCTTGGGGAAGGGTGCATCATGGTGATTGGGCAGGCCTTGAGGCGCGCCATGTGCGGGCGCAACAGGCGGCGGCCATGTCCCGTGAGGACCCAAGACATTTGGAAGAGGGCTTAGATTTTGTTTCTTTGCTTCAGAGGGGATAGTGGTCGGAGGTGGTGCAGCAGAGGTGCGGCAGAAGCGGGCTTGACCTACCTGTGATGCCCCAACAGCTCAGGCATCAAGCCGAAGCTTAGCTGCTACCATGTTTCGAGGCTTGGTCGACATGGCGGCCATGACGTGAAAAGGGGCATCCTTGTCGGTGATTCAGCAAAAACAATTGCTCTGCATTTAGGACAGTACCTGATAAGAAGTGGTGTGCCTACGCAAAGAAGGCAATCTTGTGGCCTCGGACGTGTGGACGTGTTGTACACGACTTGTTCACCAAGCCTCGTCACGCCCGCAGCCGGGCTTCCGAAAGTGTTCTAGAAGGCGACTTGTTAACCTTTAGGGTGCTTGGCCTGCAACAAGCAAGTAGCGCGATTCCAGATGACTTCTGCGGCAGGCGAATCTCAGGAGATTTGCGGAGTTGGGGGCAGGCTGAGGGTTGCAGTGGTCGACAGGCTTTCCCCGCTCTCGATGATGGCGATGGCGATGGCGATGGCGATGATGATGATGATGATGATGATGATGATGGTGGTGGTGCGCAGTGACCGAAAGTAATGTATGTAGCTGTAAGGTATGCAGCGATTAGGTTGGTGGATTGCTGGTTGGGGCGGCAAAGAATGAAGTCTTGGTTGCCGAGCATTGGATGCAGAATTCGGCCGATGAAGAGACAGTCGGGTTCTCGGTTTCTTCGAAGAGCCGCCCAAGCGGTCGAGGGCGAGGCTGACGGCGAAGATGGATCCTCTCCTCTGGCTCTGGAATGCAGCCACCTGGGTCATCGAAGTCACGAGTGGCAGAGATGTTTGGTTGACCGCTCTTCTTCGTAATCGTGGTACGCGTGACTGGAGGAAGAGAAGACGAGGGCGACGAGGTGTTACCGCAAACGAGGGGGCGGTGGGACAAAGAGGTGGCCTGGCCGTGGCGAGAGGTGTGTGACGAGTGAGTCAGCGGCGGAATATTCTCGGGCAGACACCAGCGAGTGGCAATGCAATGGCCGCCTACTGACTGCCCGCCTCACCGGCCACTGGCCACTGGCCGCAAGCATAACGTAACGTAACGTAACATAACAGGTGGTAGTGGCCAATTTCAGGAATATCATACACAAGCTGAAAGGAAAGCGTCCAACAAAGCCGATCCCAGGCCTGACGACGGGCTTAGCTTAGCTTAGCTTAGCCTTAGCACCCCGGCTTCGTCTTATTCTGGGCACCGGCGGGGTCCGGCGGGACGCCCATCATGCTACAGACTGTCCTCCAAGCGACCAGCGGCAAACGATGCGCTGGGCAGTATAGCAGACACCGCGTCCGTCGACATCCCTCTCTGGCCAGCCCAGCGTGGGTGCCATCGAGTGGGAGCGCCGTCTGGGTGCCGTGGCCCGTGCGCGGTGGTAGGGTAGGGTAGGGTAGGGTAGGGTAGGGTAGGGTAGGGTAGGGTAGGGTCGACGGGAGTCCAGTCATGGGCTGGGCTGGGCTGGGCTTGGCGGAGGTGGGAGTCGGAGTCGTCGTCGTCGTCGTCGTCGCAGTGGCATCCATATCAAAAAGCCCGCCACCCGCGCCGTGCGTGCAGTGACTCCTCTCTTCCCAAGAATCAGCCACGCTGCACCACACATCATGGCCTTTGTCAAATCCTCTGAAGTCGTCTAGACTTGTCCTCACTCCCCGCCTCCAGACTATTCTCTCCTCTCCACTCCACTCACTCCTCGTCTGCGACTGCAACCTTCTGGCCACCTGTTTGCCTCCCGCCCGGCCTTGCCCGTTTACCCAGTCAGCAGCCTTGTCTCATAGCGCACCGACTCTCTTCCCGCTGCGCTGCCGCCTTCTCCAACGACTCACTCCTGCTCGACTGCCTATCCCTCATCCCTCCTTATAACCACTCCGCTCTCCAGCTTCACCTCCGTCCCTCCTAATCCCTCCCGCTTGCCAACGGCTCTTGCCTCGTTCACTCGATCGCGACCGCTGCTCCGCAAGACGACCGACCCACCTGTCCACCTCGACGAAGAACCCTCCACCTCCGACTCCTCTCGGCTTGTCCTGGCACGCGCTTGGTTGCTCTCGGCTACCTCGCGCATGGTGACGCTCGTCACCGCCTAACCTCCTACAAGCTCCACCACACACAAGTCACAATGTACACCAAGTCATACAAAGCGCCAGTCGTCATCAGTCGCCCAGAGATCTCCATCGGTTCAGATTCCAAGACCATCATCGTCCAAGAACGCGCTGTTCGCTACTAGTCTCCGCTCCTCCTTTGCGTCTTTGGCCCCGACGGACTTGATCCCCGCCGAGCCAAACACACGAGAGTACTGGATTCTGTGTCGGACAAGGTCCTTATCTGAACATCTCTGTTGCTGACGGCGACTGGACGCTTCTAAATCGTCAAACGCTTCTGCAAAACTCCCCGCCTCACGACGGTCTCCGACATTTTGCTCACTCTGGACTTGTTCTTGATTCCTGGCAAGGACTGAAAGCGTACAACGGCACCTTTGGTTCCGCGTGCACCATCACGAGCATTTGGCGACCTTCCAAACGCCTCTACACGAATTCCAGAAAAGACCAGTCTGCTGCTGCTGCATTGTCAGACCACTGAGCGGGTGATTCCTGGCACTTCTTACCGGATTCCTCTCTTGGTCACCCCACGACCATCCAAAAGTTTCGACTTTCGGGCCCAAAAGGGACACGGGTGCTTAAAAGCAACCTCTCCACTCTCTATCTGCTTGCTGGCTTTTGGTTAGTATACCCAGGCGTTCTCCAGTTACATCATGGGTTGCGACTTTCCCTTCGGCCGAGACGTCTCCCATCCCTACGGGTCCTCCGTTTCTTCTTCAGCCTCCTCTTCTACTTCTTCGGTATTTTCCTTTGACGCCGCTTCCTCTACTTCTTCAATCTCCTCGGCTGCAACCTCGATCCACGGCAGCTGGGACTCGAGCGACTCGTGGAGCCGCCCACCATCTTTCCAAGACGCTGCTTGCACGCGCGCTGGCGAGTCTTTTGCGACCAGCGGCAGTGCTCAGCGCTATAATGCACCTTGCCAAACTCAGGGCGCACTTCCCCCTCTGCAATCTGCCGTTGACGCTGCCCTTGCCGCAGAGTCTCGGCGCAACCCGCGCAGATGTGCCACTGTCAACACGCGTGCGCCGCCCACTCTGGTTCGCCAGAGCGAGCGCACTGTCAAGTTTGTTGACAGCCTCGTCGGTAAGTAATACAACCTCCACCTCCTCCCCGAACCCTTCGCTGAGCACACTATACAAGACTCTGCGACCCAAATGGTTGAGATAATTTGGCCCCTCTCTGTGCCTACCTGTCGCAATGAGGGCTCCGGCCGCGGTGTGCTGCCTCTTCGAACCTTTATTCAAGAGACGCTTCGCCGATCCCGGACCAGCTACTCGACGCTCCAAGTCGCACTTTACTATCTCATCCTCATTAAGGCGCACGTCCCCAAGATTGACTTCACCATGGAGCAACCTGAAGACCAGTCTTTGCGAGCTCTGCAATGCGGTCGTCGCATGTTCTTGGCCGCCCTGATTTTGGCCTCAAAATACCTCCAGGACAGAAATTACTCTGCTCGGGCCTGGAGCAAAATTTCCGGCCTCAAAGTCCACGAGATCA